GGGTGGGGAGGGGGGGGTGTTTCTCATATTTCAAGAGTGGTCCTGCAGACAGATCTTCATACCACACCACAGGGTACTCCGGTCTGTGTGTGTGTGGCTGTCACAGCCAAGGAGGGAATAGGGCTTTCTACAACTCATCACACATCACCACTTGTCTTCTCATCTTTTTCCATCTTTATCCTCAAATCTTGTGTCACTGTGACTCTGTCTCTTCTGTTTTTAACGACATTGTTTCAACCTGGGCCCGACTTTAACTTATCAAGGGTGGACTGCATAAATATGGTCAGCATCAGTTTGCAGTGCAGTGAAGAACATCAGTACAGCTGGAATTACCCTGTCCAAACTGACAACTAGAGGAGCTTTCACCTGTCATTTTTCAAAGGTGAGCATTTTATTTCCTTGGAAATAATTTTAGTTTTAATAATACAGCATTTAAATATGACCTGGATATATTGTGACAAGACACTTATAGAATAAATAATTGAAAATGACCAGTTTGGTGGAGTAACAGGTTTAAATAGTGTTTAAATATGATGGCTTGACCTCTTGAATTGATACAATAAGGTTTAATGTTGATCTGTTCATATAATCCCTACAAGATCAACAATTTTTAGAATGTCTTAAAAAAATGCAAAACTGCAGCTTTTAGGTAAGGTAACAATTTTCTATAATGAAAATTGGATTTAAAATTTTTATGATTGCTTTTTTATATTTGCGAAATAAGCTGCACCTTATGATACTTTTTCTAATAAAATCATGTATTTAAAAAAAATGACACAGAAATCATAACATAAATACAATGAACAACGTGGTTAGAGTAGGATTAAAGACACTGAGCCAAATCTGAGCAAAATGGCGATCAACAAGTGTGAAATGAAATGAGCACGCTGTGCTGTCTTTGTAGAGATGCTCCCCCACCCCAATTTGTTACTGGATCCCACTGGATCCCATCACTCCCTGTTGCTTTTTTCCTACTCTCCTCTTGCTGTTTTTGGTTTCATGTAATAACTCTAAAGCTTTATTACACGCACAACAAGTAACCAATATTCTTTATGTGTTTGCCATCAAGCTGCTTAACATGCTCAGTTCATTGGCTTGAGAATAATAAAGTTCCTTTCCTATGTTTTCTGTATCATTCTGCACTCAAGACTCATCAGCTGCACCAACTTTATTTTGTCTCCTGCACGTTCTGGCACCTCACTCCCACCGTCTGTGCACCCCTCCATGGTGACAGAGAGAGTCCCTGTCAGCCTGATGTCCTCAGTTGTAGCCCCAGAAAAACCCACCTCCAACACCATGGGCCCCAAAGAGGTCAGTGCAGATCGGCAATAAATTAATGGCATGTAGTGCAGTTTGATTACAGAAAACCTTATTGAGTCACAGTATGGGGCAAGCTTCTTAAGTGCATTTTTCTTTGATCGAGCTGTCGGACTTAGTTTATGCAGACCTGAAAGGGTCAGGTGGTCTAAAGAACCACAGCTGGCTTCAAGAGCTGAATTTTTACCTTTTAAGATGTAATTAACTTACTCAGTAGTACAGCTAACATAATAAAAATTCTTGGCTGGTGCATGAAGGTCTGTCATGTGTGGGAAGTGAGAGAATAATTAAACGAGGGTGAGACTTTGATAATGAAATGAATAGATCACATATAGTGTACAGTACCTGCTTGTATATGTAAATGTGTTCTCTCTGTGGTTCATATCAAGATTGTATAAAGAGGATGCGTGGTAAATATTGAAACAAAAGTTTGAATGACAGGAAATACTGTAAATGTCTGATGATTCTACGTTTCCTGTGACTGGTTAGTTACTTTATGACCCTTCAGGTGGAGCTAATCCTTGTAAAGGAGCAGAATGGGGTCCAGCTCACCTCAACCACCTTAGTGACTCCAACTCAGACCGACCCCAGCGGGGAGGAGGAGAGGGAGACGTGGGGGAAGAAAATTGACTTCCTCCTGTCCGTGATTGGATTCGCTGTGGACCTCGCCAATGTGTGGAGATTTCCCTACCTCTGCTACAAGAATGGAGGAGGTGAGATGGATGAAGAGAGTTGCTGGGGAGGACGCTGTTTTCAGCCCCCCCCCCATCTGCTACGCTGAGATAGGTAGAGGGTAAACAAAAAATGGGGTGCAGAGGCAAAGGAAAGAAATAATGTGTATGACAATTTAGGATCATCCTCCTCTTTTTGTGAGAACAGTTGGAGTAGAAATTGAAGTGAAAATTGCACAGTGTATGTGTATGGTTGTGATCAAAAGGTAAAACTGGGGAAAAAAAGTAAAATCCACACATGCACATACTCAAACAGTGTTTACACATGCCTGTCTGTTTTTGTAGGCATGTTCCAGAGCCTTATGTATGCTGGCCGCTATTTGTGATTTTTTTCCAACCCTTTACAAAGATCAAAATAGGGGAAAAACCACCACAGCTGCTCCGAATAGATTAGCTCCAACAATCACCACCACTAATTACGGCTGTTTAACATAGAGCTCTCATTATGTTTAAGAGCTGTAAATGATACTGCAGCCATGGTCGAGGCTGACACTCTGCTCTGGAGACACTATATGTCCCCAAACGCACCATGTTGTCATACTTGTATGACAAGCACATGTTTAGGGAAATATCACTGGACTTCATTTAAGGCTAAACTACATAGCAAGGACTCATGTTTTCTTCTACATTTGTTTTTGTTTTGTTTTTTTAGAAACAGTCCACTTCCAATTATTTTTAAAAGTGGTCATAATGACCATTTTTCCCTGCACTGGGGCTGTACCAACACAGACGTTTGTCATAGACATTAATCATCTCCCCCAATCTTATAGGCTGTTATACCTAGTCTAAAAAAGGAACTGGGCCAGTTTCACAGAGGCAGCCTACTGTAACATAGAGCAGTGAAATAATAAAGGGAATAGATACAACTGAACCTGCTGTTCTTCTCAGTTTTTCAGCATTCTATATATGTATTTTTTAAATTTTTGTGTAGTCTTTCTTTTTGTATACCTATGCTCAAAAAAAGAATAAAATATCAGGTTTGAAACTTATGTTTTGACAGATATCCTTTAAATTGTGTGTGTGCATGTGCAGGTGCCTTCCTGGTGCCCTACCTGTTCTTCATGGTGATAGCAGGCATGCCTCTTTTCTACATGGAGCTGGCTTTGGGACAGTACAACAGGGAGGGGGCAGCAGGGGTCTGGAAGATCTGTCCTATATTTAAAGGTAGGAAATGACGGGTCATAAGATACAGTACATATTCAGATCTATACAGGCAGACTCATTCCCACATACTGTACATGCACCAAATGAACACCTGCATGTTCCCACCTCGCTGGACAGCTTCCACTGTCTGATGATATATTTCCTTTAATATCTGCATGTTTTTCTTCTGCCCACATGTCTGTCTGTCGGCATTCTTTTGTCTTTGTGTTGATAAGTGACAGCAGGCATTGTTTATCCCTCCCGCCCCGCCCCGCCCCAAACACCAGGTTCTTTTGACACTCAGATGGAAAGCAAATAAAAATTGGGCTTTTAGGCTCCTGTCCTGACTGTTCAAAATTTTCTATTAAATGGTGGCAGGAACAGCAGCTGATGCTCTCTCTGGGTACTTTTCAGCACATCAAGGAACAAGGCGTATGAAAATGCCATCATTAAGGCCAACTCACATTTTGAAGCAAAGTCACTCCTTGAAAACATGCTGCTACACTTTGTTCAACCTTTTATGCCTTTGTTAAACAGTACAGTATACAAGCTGTGACTTGTGTTTATCCATCTGTCTATCTACTGTATATTCTGCTCTTTTATTTATTTGTTGGTAATTTTCTTTGGCTATGTAAAAAAAAAACAAAAAAAAAAACAAAGGTTACATTTTCATTTAAATCCACATTTAATACATCATTATGAGTTTAAAACTTCATCAGAAATATCACATCAAATACCATTATTAGCAGTAGACCATCTGTTGTGACACAGTATGAAGTCATTCCGCTGTCTTTTGTTGTTCATGTGCTTGTTGGTCTAAAGGTGACCCATACTGTGTACGTGCTGCTTCATGAGTGTGCGTGCCTCCTCTGTGTGTGAACATGTGCCGTCTGTCAGGGCACTGACGTTCTAATCACATGCTTCAGTCTCTCTCCGTCTCTCAGCAGAGGGATAACAGTAATTATTCAAATACACACATACACATGCCCATATTGACAATAATTATTCTGATCAACAGGCTGGTTTCCTCTCAGGATCAATGCATTTGAAGGGGAGATGGAGAGATAGCATGGTCACTTGCAGTGCTAAAAAGAGGCATCATTCCATGGACAAATATCACATCCACATTACAAAGGAATCAATAAGGCACAGTTGTGGTCATGAATTTAACAAAGGTTAACAATTAAATCCAGCCTTAGAAGAGTGGACATTGCTTCAGATTTAAAGAAAGGGTAGATTATTAAGATAATTAAGGCATGAAGAAACAATCTTCAGAAGTTGGTGCTGCTTTCTTTGAGCCCACAGGCATGAATCATAAGCTTACCATATTCATACTGAGGGAGAGATTCTACTTTCTGGTGTTATTTTGGTGCAGGAAGTTGTGAGAATACTGTCACGGTTCAAAAAAGTAATGTCTGTGTATTACTTTTTCTTCATATTAATAGTTCTTAAAGACAAAATGATTCATGCAAAAGAGCATTTTGTAAAAAAAAAAAAAAAAAACTAAGATTAATAGTACCACTGACAAAGGTTTGAATGTTATTTGCTTCATGGTATGGTGCATAATGAAAGCACACAGTATGGTAAAGGGTGTGTGTGTGGCAGGAAAATCTGAAAAGTCACCTTTGTGGTCACCATCCAGAAAAAAGTGTGAGGCTTGGATTCAGGTGAAAGTACTGATGCATTATAAGCTAAATACAGTATAAAGGATCAAAAGATGTTAGTTCTGCAGAAAATGGGTTCTGTGACTGATTCATTATTATGTCTTACATTGTTAGTCTTACTGATATATCAGCGTGAAAGTGGTGTTTTACTGTTGTAGCTGGTTGGGGTTTAGCTGTTTACAGAGAGATTAGACGCCCAAATCATCACAAGATGAAAGACAGAGAAAAAAAATCTCTCCTACTCTTTTTAAATTAGTTTTTTGTTCACTATTGGCTGCAAACCATAATTAAATATAACCATCATCATGATCATTTATGTTGCCCGATCAGGTGTTGGCTTTACAGTGATCCTCATTTCTCTCTACGTTGGTTTCTACTATAACGTCATCATCTCCTGGGCGCTGTTCTACCTCTTCTCCTCGTTCACCGGTGAGCTGCCCTGGGTCCACTGCAACAACACTTGGAACAGTCCTAACTGCTCCGACTGGGCTGACAACAGCTCAGGCAGTGACATTTACAAGGCAACTCCTGCTCAGGAATACTTTGAGTAAGTTCTCCTGAACTTTATTTTCCATTCAAATGCTCTTCTTTTCATTTTAGTTCTTTAAAAACTACATGCAAAATCCATTCAGTTAAAGGCAAACATACTTTAAGTATTTGTCTACCTACTAAAGCCTTTGGGTTTGGCCTTGTATCAGCTGCACATTTCTACTTCAGGAGGTGCTCAAGAAAAATTTCGGTGCAATGCAGTCATGCCATGAAATGATGTAGAGTTGGCTCCACACTCAACAGAATAACTGAAGTTACTTTACCGTCAGCCTTTTGTCTAAATTTAGTCATGCCTTATAAGATCTGATAATGAATAATTTAAGGAATAATAAACTATTCGGAAATGAACATCAGGTATATTGTCCTCTAAATAGATCTGGAGCTTGGCTGCGTTTAGCTGCTGCAGCCTCCCTCCCTGTGCAACTGCCCAGGTGTCTCCTGTTCCAATAAGTGAGGGGCTGGACTGTTCTGGCAGTTGAAGCGTTTCATCCATGCTAGTGGAAATGACAGTATGCTATTTACACAGAACCACCTGCAGACAAGTTGACCACATCAGTTTGAACAATGTTCAGTAATTTTATAGTCTTTCAGGTGACATACTCCACTTTATAGAAAAAAAAAAAAGTTTTATCGCTAGTGCAGTTTTCCTGTTATGCCAGACTGCTGTGGTCTTTAAGACCTTATAATTAAACCTACAGTATGTAACTTCTTTCATATGTTTTTGTTGTAGAAATAGGCTACAAAATGTGTCTTAGTGCAGAGACGTTTTGTCGAAGCCTCCTGTGACCCAGACTCATTGAACAGCACTGGCACCAGTGCAGAGACATTAGCTTCTAAATGGTTTCGAGCACGATTGACCTCTCTAACCAATGCATTCTCATTTATTGTAATTTCATATGGACAAATACCTGAAGAGCTGGGGAGAGCTAGGCGGACCGTAGCAGATTGTAGTAGAGCGTAGTGGAGCAGGAGAGGGCGCACTGGGCGGAGCAGAGTGATTGGGAGTTTCATGTTATTGGTACCTTAAGTTACGTATTGTAGCTTTAAGTAATACAAGCTTTTGCAGCATTTCATATAGTATCTGGAAAGTGTCCAACAACAAGACTAAAAACAGACTTTTTTTTTTTCCCTAATCTTAACCCAAAATAGCCACTGACCAGACTATGGATGCAAACACCAGTTTACAGTCTAACAATCGTGCACTTTGTATGCCCATCATCTGCCACAACCACCTCCTGGCATCTCTTCTGCCTTTAATAAATGAGTATCTTCATTTGTTTCTTCTGAAACATTTTATCTGTTGCAGTTTAAGTGCACTGTATAGAAACATTGTAATTTAAACCGAGTGTGTGATGTATAGTATGTCCTAGTTATTTGCATTTGGATTATCTGACACTAACTTTTGTTGCAAAATTAGCTTCCGAGTCTCATTAAATCTCTCCAGAGTCCCATCTGGAAGAGATAGACATACAGTCTTATGCAAAAGTTTAGGCACCCCTTGATAAATAACAGATTTTGGTGATTTTTTTATTTGAACAGATGTTAACACAGTTTCTCTTGGAAATGGAAAAAATGCACAATATTTTCAGCAAACAGTGATGCATAGTTACTTCTTATGCCATAAAGTGAACAAAAATAAAAAATAAAAACATTATTATGGCATGGTGCAAAAGTTTGGGCACCCTAAGAGTTCCAGAGTCTCAAAGTCTCTCACAAGGTTTCAGACCTTAATCAGCGCGTTAGATCTGATGCACAGCAACAGCTGTCATTGGTAAATGCCAATTTCAAAGCTGTACAAATACCTTGACTCTTCAAACCTTGTGCACACACTTGTGGACACCCAGCAACCATGGGTTCCTCTAAGCAGCTGTGTAAGACCCTGAAAATGAAAGTTATTGATGCCCACAATGCAGGAGAAGGCTACAAGAAGATAGCAAAGCGTTGTCAGCTTGCAGTTTCCACAGTAAGAAATGTAATTAAGAGATGGCAGATCAGGGGAACTGGGGAGGTCAAGATGAGATCTGGAAGACCAAGAAAACTCTCGGACAGAACTGCTCGTATGCTGGTCAGAAAGACAAATCAAAACCCACATTTGACTGCAAAAAACCTGCAGGAAGATTTAGCAGACTCAGGAGTGGTGGTGCACCGTTCCACTGTGCAGCGATGCTTGCACAGACAAGGCCTTCATGGAAGAGTCAGCAGAAGAAAACCTTATCTGCGTCCCCATCATAAAATCCAACGTCTGAAGTATGCAACAGGACATCTACAGAAGCCCGATGCGTTTTGGAAACAAGTGCTGTGGACTGATGAAGTTAAAATAGAACTCTTTGGACACAATCAGCAAAGGCATGTTTGGAGAAAAAAAGGAGCAGCATTTCATGAAAAGAACACCTTGCCAACTATTAAGCATGGGGGTGGATCTATCATGCTCTGGGGTTGTGTTGCAGCCAGTGGCACAGGAAACATTGCACGGGTGGAGGGAAGAATGGATTCCACTAAATACCAGCAAATTCTGGAAGCAAACATCACACCATCTGTAAAAAAGCTGAAGCTGAAAAGAGGATGGCTTCTACAACAGGACAATGATCCTAAACATACCTCGAAATCCACTATGGAATACCTCAAGAGACGCAGGCTGAAGGTTTTGGAATGGCCATCACAGTCCCCTGATTTAAACATCATTGAAAATTTGTGGGTAGATCTTAAAAGAGCTGTGCATGCAAGACGACCAAAGAATATTACAGAACTAGAAGCTGCTCAATTTTTGTATAAATATGCATGAAAAAACAGGAAGACATGAATCTTGTTCCAAGATGATGCCTTGTGCAGTGAGGACTGGCTCTATCTCTGGCACTTTTCTTACATGGACACTGGCTACAATGTTAGTAGGTATTCCTGAAATGCTAAGAATGTTAAAGACAAGACCCTTAGAGGTGGTGTAGTGGTGTCTCAGGAGAGGTTATTGTTCTTAACTAGAATGTCCTCTATCTTAGACGAGGGGTGCTCCACATCCAGGACAGCAACGGTATTGATGACCTGGGTCGTCCACGCTGGCAGTTGACTTCTTGTCTGGCTGTGGTGATTGTTCTGCTCTACTTCAGTCTCTGGAAGGGAGTCAAGACCTCTGGCAAGGTAGGAGATGCCACAGTAGCTGTGTTTCTAAATGTAAAAATCAGTACTATATAATTCCTACCCAAGAGTCTTTGAATTATAAGTCACTTGATATGGAATTACTTGAGGAATCACTGCATCTTTAAGTCCAGTTTAAATCCACTAAAAATAGACTCCTGTATGTGTAGACATAGTATAAATGTGTACTTTCACTCTAACATGTACTCATATTTGTGAAGCTGACTGCGTGTGTGTGCCATTCTTTCCTTTGTTTAAATGTGTGGGTATTCTGTTTGTATGTGTGCGCAATCCTCTCAGGTCGTGTGGATCACAGCCACTATGCCCTATGTGGTCTTGACTGTGCTGCTGCTCCGTGGAGTCACTCTGCCCGGAGCCATTGACGGCATTAAGGCCTACCTCTCTGTGGACTTCCTGAGACTCTGTGATGCCAAGGTGAGATTCAAACAAGGAGAGTGAAGTGAGAGTGGTGGGGGAGCAGAAGAAGAATGGAGCATGGCGTGATTTAACATAGAAGCAAATATGAAAGAAGAATTTTAGTAAAATATTACATACATGTTAGACAATAAATAAATAGGGGAATAAAGTATGCTAGACACCTAAATCACAGTTGCTGCTGAGAACAGCTGAGAACCCATAGCAACAAGGAATAAAGAGGCACTACTGACACTTTCTTTCCATGGTTGATCACGTAGTATGTTTTTCCAAGTTGCATGCTAAAGAAAAATACTGTATGTATCTCAGATCAGGCAAAAGACAAAAAAATAACAGAAAGGAACAAAGAACCATAAGAAGAGAGAAGAGTTACAATAAAATGAGTGAAGGCAGGCCAGGAGAGAGAGAGAATAGTTAAGCTAAACTGACATGGCCAACACACACTACACAGTTCCTTTTCTCCACAAACAAATGTGACCCTCTTTCATTATGGTCTCCAGGGAGGAATGACAAAAACCTGAATGTGGAATCATTCCTTAGTTTACACAACTGCTGCATTAATGCATAACAGCAAAGACAACTTAACTGTTTGTGTCTTGTTGACCAATTTGTGAAAAGCCTTAACCACAACATTGATCAGAGAGGGATTTCCTCTATGTATGAAACATGAGAAAATTGTCTGTGTAGCCCATTTCTAATATATTCCTTAAATGTGAAACCTACTATCACATCTTATGACAATATTTTATTTACCTTAATAGCAGGAACTAAGGGGCTCAATAAGTAAGCATGCAGGACTAAAGGACCCAGTTATGGAGAAAGCAAGAAGGGGATAGATATAGAGGTGCATGGGAGAAATTGGAGAATTAGATTAGATAGATGCATGGAGCAGTAATTTGCAAAATTACTCTCCGTATTCACGAGCGTCTTTCATCTGCTGCTGTTGAATGAGTTTCCTGCAATTATCCCTAATAATGGCTTTTTTCCTCTCCTGTGCCTTTTGTTTGCCGCTTCACACAAGTGTGCTTGTTCTGTCGCTCCCCAGGTCTGGATTGAGGCAGCGACACAGATCTGTTTCTCACTGGGAGTGGGGTTTGGTGTGCTTATTGCCTTTTCCAGCTACAACAAATTCAGCAACAACTGTTACAGGTAAGGATACGCAGGGAGAGGCAGCAGCAGGAGGGAACATTACACACATGTGCGCGACATAAGCAAGTGAATTACAATAACCTTTGAAGCTCCTTGATACACATCAAGTCTTTGACCGCCTGCTGTGTGACAGTCAGTCATAACACCAATCACAACTGTTGCACTTTGAAAATCATCCGCATCACGCAGGAGGCTTTTATCTCAGTGATTTGCCTTTTTTAATGTTTCTCTTTACTGACACATGACACCCTCCACCTTGATTCCTCCTTGAGCTAATTGTTTTGCAGGACACTGACAAGAAAATTGTTAGTTTTTCCAGCTCACTTCTTTCTGATATACTTTTAGGAGGATTTTGTTCATATTTAACACTGGCCAACTAACTTAATCACTTTTACTGCTGAGCAAGGTTAGACTTCCAGAAGAAGACAGGACAACAGGTCTGTCACATCACAGACAGGACAGTGACCAGGTGGCTGACTGAATAATCCATTTCTTCAACCCAGACTCATTACAGCAAGCCAGCATTACCACCATGTAGAAGCCAACAGGAAAGTGACTTTCACCCACACCTGACAGTTTACTGGCTGGTCAATAATGCTGATACTGACTGCGTGATGGCTGATGACTGACTAATGAACTGTTTGATATATTTAATTATTTATTCATTCATTCATGACTATTGTTTTTTTTTTTTCATTTTATTTGATTTTATGTCCCAGAGACGCCATCATCACAAGCTCCATCAACTCTTTAACCAGTTTCTTCTCCGGCTTTGTCGTCTTCTCCTTCCTTGGCTACATGTCCTACAAGCACAACGTGGCCCTGGACAAAGTTGCTAGAGATGGTATGATGATATTTTTCTGTTTTGTAATGTGGTACCTGTGTAAATAAATGTGTGTGTGTGTTCTTGAACTTGCTGCATAGTGAGGACCCAAAAAGTATATATATTTTTTTGCTACAGTGAAGACATTTTTGAAAAGTGAGAACATTTTGGCTTGTCCTCACTTTCTAAAACACCTTTTTGAGGCTTAATACTTGATTTTAGGGTTCAGGTTAGAATTAGGCATTTAGTTCTGGTGGCTAATTTTAGGGTAAGGGGCTAGAGAACACATTATGTCAATGAGTGTCCTCACAAAGATAGGAGTACAAAAGTGTGTGTTGTAGACACTATCATACAATTACAACTTTCCCCTCATCTGTCAACAATTATTGATGAGAAACAGCACATGCGTTTGGAAAAATCTGGAACTTGATCAAGTTAAAGTTAAACAGAACTTACTGCACTCCTGTTGTTATTTGCAACATATCTTAACATTAGGTTTTTGATAGCATGGTTTTGTTATTTGACTAATGTTTTATTGATGCTATTTGTAATTTTCTCCTCAGATGATATGTTAAATTTCTGCAATACGCTTGTGTTTCCTGCCTGGCGACTACAGATGAAATTTAGCTTTGTAGCTACTGTAATTCTGGGAAAGTCGTGGACCAGTTATTGTCCCTGTCAAACAAACAAACAAACAAAAAAAGACTAAAGACTTTAAATATAATAAAAACACACTGCATGTTGCAGGAAAATATCCAGCTTTAAGTCATATTCCATAGTTTGTGTTATTACTTTTTAATGTACTGTACTTTTGTAGCGTCACGTCAGTCATACAATAGGTTGTTGGTTTTGTGTAAGACAGATCAACCTACTCTTACCATTATTCAGTGATGGGTGCTAATAAATGGCAGTGCAAACAGCTCACAGTGGGGTAGTAATACCAGAAGAATAGAAACAGGAAAATGTGCATTCTTTAATTATTCTAAGAGTCAGCAATATTTAAGCTGGGCCGTGTTTAGATGCCAACACTGTAATCAGTGAAGAACCCTGGCAGTGAACCCACTGAGAGGTTGATTGTTATTAAAAATGGTACAGTACTCTTCTCTGATATGCCGTCTTCGATTCCCCTGATTCTTATTGTTTAACATGTTATATCTAACTAACATTCAGCTTTTATGTTTGCTGCTATGTTAAATCCTCCAGATGCTAATGTTTGTGCATTTAGTGCTGTTTTCTGCTTTCCTTGCTTGAATTTCTTGTTCTGTAGGTGCTGGTTTGGTGTTTGTTATTTACCCAGAAGCCATTGCAACATTACCTGGGTCATCCGTTTGGGCAGTTATCTTCTTCATCATGCTGTTGACACTGGGCATTGACAGTGCTGTGCGTATGTTTGTTTGTTTGCTTGTTTTATTTTTTTTTGTTGTTGTTTGTTTTTTGCAGCAATGCTTCAGACATGCATTGGACAAAACGTGAAATGTGAAATTTTCATTTTGCAGTTTTAATTTTTTGGAACTTTAATATGCCAGTAATGCAGTAAACACATTTGCCAGCGTGACTGACTGTTTTTTCCTAACTCTTGTGACCCACTTTAGATGGGTGGGATGGAGTCTGTGATCACAGGGCTGATTGATGAATTCAGATTCCTCCATAAACACAGAGAGCTGTTCACTCTCTTAATTGTCGTAGCCACCTTCCTCATATCCCTTTTCTGTGTTACAAATGTAAGTATCATGTTGGCCTTGTTTGTGTGACAGTTGACATTCTTTTGTGTACTCTGTTCTACTAATCAAAGAATGACAAGTATTTGCAAATGCAATGACTTGAATGATCCAAATGTATTTAGAGGTTTTTTATTTGTTCTTACTGTAAACTATATTATAAAATGTATATAATATAACAGTTATTATACATTTGTTATCTTATCTCTGTCTGTCCAGGGTGGGATGTATGTGTTTACTCTGCTGGACCACTTTGCAGCAGGAACATCGATTCTCTTTGGAGTGCTTATTGAAGCCATTGGAATCGCATGGTTCTATGGTGAGCGAGGTAGAGGAGAGAAATGAGGAAGGACAAACATAATTCATGTTTTCATGGGCAGCAAAGCTGATGCTACATTAGAGGTTTGATGAGAAATCTGCAGATGTTCTGTGCCTTCTTACAGCATAGTTTTATCAAATATGATTGATTGATTTATTCTTTCAAGCAAGTAAAGATAGTCGACATGTCAACACACATAATTTCACACATATCCACAAATGCTAATCCAATATCAATTTGCTTATACCTAGTACGTGCTTGAACGGAGTAGGAAGAAGTTAGACTTATCTAGTCCTACCCCATAACATCATCTTACCATCATTGGTTTGCAAGCAGTTTCTCTACTTAGATAATTTTGTTCTACACCACACAAGTAATATACTAAAAAATTATTACAGATTGTTAACATTCTTACATAGTTACATTCTTAGAAAATTGTCTTCTACACCACACAAGTAATATACTAACAAATTATTACATAGTGTTAACATTCATACACCACACCCACAATGTTAAACCTGTTCTTGCATATATCTTGATTGACACATACCTTTATATTTATGTTTAAACTCATCAATTCTACTATTTTTTATGTCCACACTTAAATTATTCCATAGTTTTACCCCACTTATGGAAATACAAAATCTTTTTTTGGTTGTACGTATAGCATGAATTTTTAAATTTAACTGACCCCTTAAATTGTATCCCCCTTCCCTTTCATTAAATAGTTTTTGAATTCCACCAGGTAATAAATTGCTCCTGGCTTTATACATAAACACTGCAGTCTTTTATCCCACTAAATCAAAAAATTTTAACAATTTAGACTGTATGAAAGCTACGTTGGTGTGATCCCTATACCCCATCTTATGCACAATTCTTATCGCTCTTTTTTGTAATATATACAATGGTTGAAGTGAGCTTTTGTATGCATTTCCCCAGTTTTCAACGCCATAATCTAAGCATGTTAAAATAAATGAGGAATACAAAATGCGTAGTGCTTTCCTGTCCAAAATATATCTAACTCTTGCCAATATCGATATGTTTTTTGCTATTTTGTGCTGAATATATCTGTCAATCAATCAATCAATCAATCAACTCAACATACATCATTCAGCACAGCACAAGTAAAGTCAAAATAAAACACATTTTTAAATTTAGGAGTTTCTATATTGCCTCTTGCTTTGATTAGAAATACTGTACCATGCCAGTGCAGTATAAACCAAAAAGCCCATTAAACCATATTTGGACCCAAGAATCTACCACAGTATTATCTAAAAATGCAGCCATCGCCTTAGCGAATACTCTGTTTGTGTGGTGCAAACTCCCAAATCATTTTTAAATAATCAAGCTACTAAAAAGTTACTAAAACTAGCTGATGTGCAGTGAACCTGACTTTTTTTTACTGTGGGGCAGTTGACTCATTTGCTTTTATTTCTTTGCCTGGACACAGTTTTGTGTTGTCAACATCTTGGGGTGCTGATTCTGCTGTGATACTGCTCAGGATTAGTCAGGGCTTTTCAAAACTACACACGCTGATTATTACTGGGTCAGTCGGTTGCGATCTTTGCCAAAGACTCCCGGCCTCCATCTGATTTAATCTGTCTTTAAGTGTACAGACAGACAGGTGTGACACATATACACACACATATCTTTAAATATATATTGTGTTAGGATCGCGCAGATGGATGCAGGCGTTGCTCGATTAAGTAACACAGGCACACGTCATCAGTCCAATAATTGCAAGACTCACCTCAAGCAACCCAGGCCCTGAACACACACACACACACACACACACACACACTATGGGCTTCAGAAACATAGAACTCATGTTCCTTTCGATTGTATTATTATTTAAAGTGACGGATGTATCATCTGTACAAATGCTTCTTGCTAAACCAGGACCAACATTCACAAAAAAACCTATTAAACTTATCTACTGCATCCTCCAATCTATTGACCGGTGTGTCATTATCCATAAAATATAAGCATACTCTACTAATGGTTTTGGCCTTTTCAGTTTCTAGACAGGTCCTTGGGCATGCATTGTTAAGGCTGAAGGATATACTGTAGCTGTGGTGCCCATAAAAGCTCGTTGAGGTTAAATGGGCCTTGATTTGACCATTGCCAGTGTTACCTTTCTGTTCACTCAGCAGTGGTGAGGCACCACATGAATAAAACTGTAGTTGGGAAACATGTCATTTCTCTTTCCCATGGACAGTTGTCTGATAGCTGGATTGTTGTGAGTGACAACTGGGAGTGACTTCAAAATCATTTTTTCTCTATATTCCATCTTATATCAATCTACCTGTAATCTCAGTTTTAAGGTACCTTCTTCAAAAGCGCCACACCGTATCTCCCTAAGCTGTGTAAGCTTTTTTTTGTTTGTACAATATCTGCACTCTATATGGAAGAAATACTTTAGTTGTGTAGAAGTGAATAAATTATAGAATTTTAGACTTGATGACAACCCTTGCGGTGGCCTCTTATGATAGCTGTTTGTATATTCCTCAGTGATTGTAGATTTCTTCAAGTGTGTGTAGTTTTGTAAATTAATGGCTAAGGTCCAACTGCTTTACTGATTCACCTATACCTATAACACAACCAGCTGAAAACAAGAAAAACTGATGTTTCAGAGAGTGTGAAACCCTGACCCCCATTTTGAAACACCAGCAGGCACAAAATATTTTAAAAACAATCTAAAGGTTGGGAAAATAGATGGCCTGTGATACTGTATTGAGTTTCTTTTCTCATACCTTCTGAACCTGACTGGAGAGATTCATAAGGGGCTAACCAGGCCCCAGGTGGTGGGGTTATATATTGCCCCACTTTGGTGGGTCCTGACCTTGGCAAGCCAGATAAATCAAGCCTAAGGCTTCACAGAGCCTTTTCTCCTTCCTCTTAACTGCAGTCAGAAACCCTTGACCAATGGCCACCGTGGTCTTTTGTTCTTCTGTCATCTACATAAGTACATTTAGCTCTGCTGGATATCTGGTTGTCAGTCTGAATAAATTCCTCTGCAGGCAGAGATGCCTTCCAGGCAGGAAGACAAGCGAAAAAATATATATAAAGCCAGGTTTTAATGAGAGAATGAAAACTGATATGGTAAAAATGGTGCAGTAGCTTAATACAATAGGTTCTGCAGACTCACATTAGTTCTTCATGGACAACTTTTAACTACATTCAAAAACATCTACTGCACTGATAATACTGTAAATACTTGATATTTTCTACTGGAAACCTACTAAGCAGAAGAATTAAGGGAACACTAAATCACACATTGGATCTTGATGAGCAAATTATTCATGTTGAAAACCTTTACTAATGTGTATTGTGTAATTTGTTCTGAACAAAACCATATAACAGTCAGTGGAAACCAAAAACATCACCCATGGAGAACTGGATTCAAAATCACACTGAAAACTGAAATCACAGGCTCATCCAAGTTGTATGACTTTCATCACAGCAACTCATAATGTGACTCAGAAGTGTGTATGGGCCCTACAAGCCTGTATGCACTACCGACAACATCTGGGCATGCTCCTGATGAGTTGGCATGTGGTGTCCTGGGGGATCTCCTCCCAGACTTGGATCAGGGCATCAGTGAGCTACTGCACATTCTGTGGTGGTGCTTGGTGGCGTTGGATGCACTGATACATAATGTCCCATAGGCAATTGGATTTAGGTCAGGGGAACATGAGTCCAGTCAGTGGCATCAGTGTCTTCATCATCTGGGAACCACCTACACACTCTGCCCACTTCAGGCCGGGCATCATCCTGCACCAGGAGGAACCCAGGGCCCACTGCTCCAGTGTAAGGTCTGACATTTTCTCTGAGGATCGGATCCCAGTACCTCCCCAGACAATCACTGACCCACTACCAAACTGGTCACACTTGATGATGTTACAGGCAGCATAATGTTCACCGCGGGGTCTCCAGACTCTTTCACTCCTGTCCCATGTGCTCAGTGTGAGCCTGCTCTCATCTGTGAAGAGAACGGGGAGCCAGTGGCGGACCTGCCAATTGTGGTGTTCTCCGGTTAATGCCAGTCAAGCTGTACAGTGCTGGGCTGTGAGCACAGGTTGTACTAGAGGATGTTGGTACCTCATGCCACCATTGTGGAGACTGGTTCTGACAGTTTGGTCAGAAACATGCACACCAGTAGCTGCTGGAGGGTATTTTGTAGGGCTCTCACAGTGCTCCTCCTGCTCTTCTTTGCACAACTTGCACAAGCAGCCGATACCGGTCCTACTGCTGGGTTGTTGCCCTTCTACAGCTCCGTCTCCTGGTGTAACGGCTGGTCTCCCAGTATCTCCTTCATGCTCTTGAGACCATGCTGGGGGACACAGTAAGCCTTGCAAATGCACATACAGTATGGAGTGCCACCTTGGATAACTGGACTACCTGTGTAACCCTAACTGAATTGCAGGTACTGCCTCATGCTATAAGTAGTGACAAGGACACAACATAAATCTTAAGAAGAGTCAATCAGGAAGCATAAGGAGAGAGCATTTGTCTGTGGCCACCACATATAAAACCATTCCCTTTTTGGGGGTTGTCTTGCTTTAGCCTCTGCGTTGCACCCGTTGTCACTTTCATTTACACCAAAGCAGGTGGAACTGATTCAGAATCACTTGTGCTTCCTAAATGGATGGATTGAAATCCCTGAAGTTTGCTGACTTGGTGTTATACTCTGACAATCAAGTTTTCCCTTAATTTTTTGAGCAGTTTATTTGGTATGCACTTAACCATGTCAGGAAAGTAATATAGAATGTTTCTTTATGTTTCAGGAGTGGATCGTTTCAGTGATGACATCGAAGAGATGATTGGCCAGCGACCAGGCATGTACTGGAGGCTGTGCTGGAAGTTTGTCAGCCCCTGTTTTCTCTTGGTGAGTTGTACTTTTTCAACCCTAACAATGGAAATTTAGTAGATAAATCAGATTTATCAGTTTACCTTCAGCTGTATATGCATTTGGCAATAACAACGAAATATGTCACCAATTTTCACACTTCAAGCTCCCTTTCTGCTGACTGGAAACAATGGAATCAAAGTGCTAAAATCTGACAAGCTATCAGGTTGGGTTATGCTATGGGTTGGGTAAGCTGCAAATGAATTGCCCCCTTAGGATCCATAAAGTTGTCTGAATTGAACTGAAGGTTTATTGTCATATACAGATACAAGTTCAGTCATTACAAAAAGTACTTGTGGGCCTTCTGAAATTGAAAATAAAGAACTATTTCATATAATTTAAAATATTATATAAAATACAATTTAGTTCTAGAAAATATAATTTGTAACTTTCACTTTGCTACTGAATAAATCAGCTCTTCAGTAACTCCTGTATATATCTACCCATCCATCAGTCGAGTGCCAGTGCTTATTCAGATCTAGCTGATAGTGAGCACTAGTCAGGTGAACCAGATGTTTTTCCCCCTGGCAACTTCCTTTTGCTTCTCCAAAGCATTCCTTAAATGCTCCCAAGCCACATGAATGCTGCCCTCTAGTTTGTCCTAACACAACCTGCCAGCTGGTTGTGCATAGTACACTGATAACAACTATAACACTGGTGCAAAAGAAGACCCATTATTACCCAATGCCTTACAGTAAGTGCACTACATTGATATGTGGTGCTCAAGATATATAAAGGAAAATGAACCATTGATTTGAGGGAAGGAGCTTGTCTGATGGTCCACATGTTTGATTCTTAGATTTGCCTGTTGTTGTTGTTGTTGTTGTTTATGCTCATTAATGTAACCATCTTTGGGATTCCTTTCTTTGGGAAGATGTGATTAATTGCTTGTGGGAATGAATGAATAAATGAATGCATGACTTGGATTACAGCATAGCCTCCACCCCTTTGTTTGACAACAGGGATATTGTCACATTGGCTTAAATTGCTTAACAGATATTTTTGTTTGATTGTTTTCCTCAAGTCTTTTGCATTCATAACATTTTCTCATAGTTTATGGTGGTCGTGAGTTTTGCCACATTCAACCCTCCCAGCTACGGTTCCTACATGTTTCCTCCATGGGCTAACATGGTGGGGTGGTGTCTGGCCATGTCCTCAATGGCCATGGTGCCTCTCTATGCCATCTACAAGCTCTGCACACTGCCTGGAAAGTTTTGCGATGTAAGTCTGAGCTTTGGGTTCTTGGCTGAAATGAAATGAGTCATAAATATTAATCTTTCATCTTTAGCTTGCTTTGTCATGATGGAGCACTAAGCGCTGTGTTCTGTTAGAGCAGGATGTCTAATTGCTCTTCTCCCATTCTGCTGTGACAGAGATTGGCTTATGCCATCACCCCAGAGACGGAGCATCATTTGGTAGACAGCGGTGAGGTTCGGCAGTTCACTGTGAGTGTTGGTCTGATTCTGCATTTTTATAATCATGTACATAAATGCCACATCTCTGCATGTTTTATACATATATACATTTATATTCCTCTGATTACTGCACTGTTACACTTCATTTAGCTACTGTTATTTGTGCAGTAGAGTAGTACTGTTTTAATTCATGGGTATATTTGAATTTTTCCCACAGCTGCATCACTGGTTGGTGGTGTGAGGGCTACAGAGAGAAAGTGAAAGAGTGAGAGAGAGAATGAGAGCAGTGGGTGGATGAATGGATGCACAGCAAAGGTCTGAAGTGCTAAGAAAAAGACAGAAACAGCCATTTAAATTGATCATAATGATGTGGTGGTGGGAGCAGTTTAAAAGTGCCAACAAAACATAAAAAGTGTAGTGCTCTTTAATTTCAACAATGGATGAGTGAACCTGTGCATTGACCCTCTCCACCACTAGTGAAAGAATGGGATTCAGTCAAACAGGTCATGTTGTGCTTCGCCTATTACTTTCATGAATACAAAAATCACCTTGAAGGCATACCAGGTAACATTTAGCCTTGTGACTGCCTTCCCTTTGCACTTGTAATAGTGTGTTTGTTTCATAACAATAAACAATGAAGGTCACAGGTCAAAGGATGTAGAAAGGTTTATTTTACATTGTGTCAAGTGCATGGGTACCCAAAATAAGAGTAAAACTAAAAATTCCATGTATTTCTTTGAGGTAAGATGTACATTAAAGTTCAGTTATTGTAGATGAAGTGAAGATGTTGAGGTGCTACATATGACAGCATAAAGAGTTTATTTGTAAAATGTTTAGTCTGTTTTGGAAATTAGCTTTATTTCATTTCAGTTAGTTAATGTTAAAACAGAAAGAAAGAAGCCCTTTTTTGAAATGTCATGAGTCAAAACAAGTATTTAGCAGTCAGATTTGTCATGAATGTTGCAGGTTTTACTGAATCACAGTTCATATAGTTTTTTTACAGTATGTATTTATTTATTTTTAAGACTGTTATAGGATTCTGTGAAACCAGACTGAAAAAGACACCTACTTTTGTTTATATCAAAATAATTCATGTAAAACATCATTTTTTCATTAACACACCAAATAAACACCATTAAAGTAAAATAAAATATTGAATACACATTAACTGAACTTTCTCACTGAGTTGCTTCATTTTATTAAAAAAAAAAAAAAACACAAAGGTGCCCATAACAAATTAGAACCAGTGCACATTAATTATTTATTTGAACAATACGGTCAAGTTTCCTCCAGAAATATAAAGCTTTAATTTTACTCTTGACAGAATCTTATTCACTATTTCATGACTGTTTAAGAAGCTGCTCTTTATTGAACGGCAAATGAGTGGTGTGTCATGTAATATATGATGTACTTTAAGTATCTGTATAAGTAAACGTAATGTAGAGAGGCTTGCATTATATTGTATTGTATGATACTAAATATATAATCAGTCAAACGTTTGGACACACTTTCCCTTTGAACTGAATGGGAAAGTGTGGCAAAACCTATGCCTGGTTGTGTAGTATATATCCATATAACAGGATATATGGATTATTGTTTACAGTAATGTATATTAGCCTTAAGGATCTTGATGACAATTGCATAGAAAATCCATGTGAATCTTCTCCTCACATACTCTTTCTGTTTAATCCGAAACCATAAAACCTTATATGTCACCTTGTATTACATGTAACGCACTGAAGGGTTAACTATGTCCCAAACTGTATGCTTGTGCTGCTGTACTGTGCTTTGTGGTGTTTCGGATTTTGTTTCGTACTGTTGTTTTTGTACCGTCAAATAAAGTATAATTAATACATCATTTCCTTTCTGTTCATATGTTATTTTAAAAACCTCTGTCACTTTCTATCCTTTTCTGTCGAGCCAGGAAGGCAAAATTATTGCCTTGGTACTTCTTATCACTGGGCTTACATTTTGACACTTGAATGAAGTTTTAACATGGCCCTGCTCTGCACACTGTTGTCCCTTTTATACTCCTGTACTACCACTACTGTATATTATACCACTGTACTACCTCGATCAGAAATCAGTTGTAAAATGCGTGCTACCTCACTTTTGCAGTGGCTGCATCTTCACTACAGTATTTATTTATTGCAGCTGTAGAAATAGTTTGATCAATTGAAATGTTGTGTTCCAGATTCCAAAAGGAGACACTGACGTCTAGCCTCCTAACATGTTTATGTATATGTAAGTCTTCTATCTAAACAGAATATCTGGAAATGTTGTTAGCCTTTACCTTGAATGAACTGTACTCATTACAGCACAGCCTGTGGGGTGGTCCACATGGACAAAGGATGCGGTGCGCACATCAGATGACGCATGGTGACAATCACTGTCTAAAAAGCTTCAGTTTATATTGACATCTATTCTAATCAGCAGGCGGTCTGACTATTACTCTTCAGTATTTTTTCTTTTGCACGTTCCATGCACAGTCGTGCAGTCTAGTCTCCAACTGTGCATGTAAGTGTGGTGTCCTATAGTATCTTTAGGTTATCTATTGAACACTAATTGAGAAAAGACATACATTGTTTGTGGGAAATAATGCATGTCTCATCTTTGTCACTGTCTCCTGAACAAATCTTACTTTTTATAGGATATTGAGGAAGTTCCTTAATGAATCAAAATGTGTGTGTGTGTGTGTGTGTGTGTGTGTGTGTGTGTGTGTGTGTGACAGTGTGAGTAGTGGTCAGCTTAGCAGGTTTATACACACCGGTTCTGAATAAACAATCACACTGTCATCATCATAACAGCTGATTTGTTCATACAACTTTGCAGCTGCCTTTGTCTGACAAAAGTACATATGCATGGCAAATGAGACCTGATCACCTAACCGTAAATAAATTCTAAAGTTCCATATCCTTTCTGCTCTGGCATCATAACCTCTAGAGTCCCTGCGTCCTCATATGAGGACCGCACAGCTTGGGTTTCCAAAGCTCAGGACTCTAGAGGTTAAAAAAACTAACTAGAAATAACATTTTACACTTTAAAAAGATATCAATAAATCCATACAAAGAGCCATACAATAAGCCAGCAATAATACTAAAGACCTGTAAATGTATAATACATGAAATCCCTGAATGAGTTTCAGGAGTATAAGCAGGTTCTCATCTAAACCTACCCTGGTTTTTTTCTGTCACTCTCTACTAAAAAGCTAAATGCCATAATAAGACACTATACAATACTTGAGCTCAACGTTATCTTATTGCTTATCTGGATCCACTTATAAGCTTACATTTACACATACAGCTGTAAACGTCTTTTTAAATGGTCTCTTTATGGTCTGCTACTTAAACATAATATTCTAAGATTGACTTATTTGACTGTTTACTGTTGTATACATTATAATATGAGACCATATTAGCAGTAATTCAGCATGTTCTTCATCAAACCATCAGGCAGTTTCCTGGACAGGGTTCGAATTAAGCCAGAAGTTTAGGTCTTAATCTGTTTTGAATAAAATCAGTGAAAATGAACACACATCTCCAAGAACAGTACAACAACTTCAGGTAAGAATCATCAACTATATTACAATACTCTTTTGTGAAATCACTGGGTTGACAGTACAGTGTTTATTCAGTACGGCTGTTGTGGAAGAATATGAAAATAAACCTCCAGAGAGCTAGTCCTGAAAACCGAAGAAGAGTTTGTAGACTGGCAGATGACCTGGCTTTTGATCTAGATTCTAGTTCTGTACTGGAACCAAATTCCTTGTGTGTGTAACATACTTGTCCAAATAAAGGTGATTATTATTATCCTATTGAATTTTAGGATTGAGTATCTTAAGGAGGCAATAAAGAAGGAGAGAGATGCAATTGTCTCAAATTTTACATCAAAACACGTTTGTGAAATAAATATTGCTTTATTAATTCATGCCTATTTCTGTAACATACCAGACAATATACATGAAAGACATTTTATTTGCTCATTAAATGTGAAAAGGTATCTTATCAGAGCATATGGAAGAAAAAGTAAATGATGTGGAATATCTGCTTAAACTGGCACAGTGCAAAAGCATCTCTGTATGCAAGTTGTCTGCCATCTGTTGTACTGTAACTACGTTTGGATTGTCGCCCTCTTCTATTGGGGGATCCTGGCATCTCTATTGTTTCAGATAGTTGTGAAGAACAGCTGTTGCGGTGATGACAATACAGCATCCATTTCAAAAGCAAATTTCATTAGCATGCTGCAATGGGTCATTTCTGTCAGCAAGAACTGGTCTAGCTGGTCCTGTAAACCTTCATTAACATAGTCCAGGTAATCCACGTGTCTTCTTTGACAAACAACATTAATTATAATTAAACCTCCAGCCTGGGTGGTTTAATTTAAGGCTCAAATTAGTCCTGGGGTAGCTCTAATCTTCCTCCAGAAAATCTATTTAGTTAATTCAGAACTAGGCTAAGTTTAGCACTATTTCAAACCATGACTGAGAAAGCTGATTTCTGTTTAAGTCTAGGATTAGATTTAACACTGGCCTAGTCTGCAGCTACTCCTGCTGGTAAAATTCAAAACAACATAGCACCATCAAGTGGTTTCAAGGAGGAATCGCATTAAGAGTTAGTCTAGCATGTAGCTCAAGCCAGAGCAGAAGTTCATTTGGGTCTTTTGACCCTGACTGTTGGGACGCCCTCTCAACATGCCCCAGTGGGGCAGGAAGTCTGCTGCCAGCTGGACCGAGACGGCGTGACTGGGGGTTCTGGTAGGACCACTGGGCTTCAGCCAGTATGTAAATAGTTGTTTTGGTTACAAACGGCGGCGCTGTTCTGTCTCCGGTTTCCTTATCATTTAGCCTATTGTGAAATCTTCTGGCTTTTTAATTGGCTCAACAGGAAACGTGTCGCTCGCAACGTGTGAAAGGACTTCACAATTCGATTTCCCTGTTGTTGCACCACATAATTAAGAGTGCTCAGAACAAAACATGTTTTTTGTCACTGACAGTCCTGGTTTACAATTGGTCTCTCGATGCCCAATTAACTTTCTCACGTAGCTGTTGCAGATTGTTAGCGTAAAAATTTTCAACCTTTTATTTTCTCTGCTCACAGTCTTCGTCGTGCATCTTTAGTTGTTTCCCACACCTGTATTTTATTAAATAAGTCTGTTGTTTTCTTATCAGTTAATTATTGACTACGTGTTGCTCACGGCTGAGGTCCCTGGTATTGGGGAGATAATACGCGGTGTGTTCCCATAGATACATCCCAACAGATGAGCTCCCATGACTGAAGATACTGCATCGTGGGAAAACTCCAGAGACCAGTAGGTTGTGCCATCGCCTGTTCCGTGGCGGTGCACACAAGCGAAAAGCTGTTCACCCTAGCGCGCTGACATTCTGCAGTACTTGGCGATTGTCTGCATTTCTAATGCTGCATCACACCAGCAGTTATATGCAGTTTGTTTTTTTTAGTTATTATTTATTTTAGTTGCAACCTCCTGCTTAATCTGTGAATCGCCTGCTGGCCTGGACTCGTTGTTCTGACGTCCTCGAAACCAGTGCGCGTGCCGCGTCCTCATCTCCGCTGAACCCTAGACATTTGGCACTATAATGGCCTATAAGCTGTCGTCTCGTAATTGGGATCAATCTGTTTTAAGTTTATTATAACTAAGATCTCGCTTTATCGCGCGCTCTAGTCTGCTTTTACGCGCAAACAATGAGCTCGGAGAAGCCAAACTTTCTGTCACAGCCCGTGGTGAAGAACGTTTTCATGTTCAGGAATGGGGATCCGTACTACGAGGCTCGCCGGATAGTGATAAATCAAAAGAGGGTGGCCAACTTTGAGACTTTGCTGAGAGAAGTGACCGGCGGAATACAAGCTCCGTTTGGAGCGGTGAGAAACATCTACACCCCGAGGGGAGGCCACAAGGTGGACTGTTTGGACAGCCTGCAGAGCGGGGAGCAGTACGTCGCTGCTGGGAGGGAGAGATTCAAAAAGATGGAGTAAGACTAAACTAAGACTTGGCCGAATAATAACTGCTTTCTGATGGTTTTCTCACAGTGACTAAAGCCTTAATACTGGTAAATACTGGTCTCTTGTGTTTCCCCTTCGGTGGTTAGGGCTTGTATAAAGTTAGGTTCAGGTAAGGTGAGGGGAAAGACTCACTGGAAAACAGACTTTGACAGAACACTATGCAGTTTTACGATGCAGAAGCCCAGGATTAACCTATAGCAGTGGGCTAATGCCTGCAGGAAGGCATGCTGGTCAATTATAATTACTGTTAATGCTGTTTGTCCTGTTCCATTGTCTACATATATAAAATTAGGCACCGAGCATCAGACCTTTTGTGGTCTTAGAGATGAGACAACAGTTTTTCTTCTGTGCCAAGTCACAGCATAAGGCAAAGGAGATGAGCACTGTAGCGAAGCGTGCCCTGACCTGGTCTCAAAATAAGTGGATTTATACTGCGGACAATGAGCTTTCAGCAGTTATTCATAGAATGCAGCTGAGTGGGAAGGTGTTCTGGAGCCACGGCTTACTGTCACCGAGCTCTTTGACATAGGTATTTAACATGTAGATACTGTGTTAATCCCCTGCTGCAAAACTGACAGAATAAATAATAGACGCCTGCATTCTCAATTTTGTTCACCCCATTTCTGCAGTTGTGTGGAAAATCAGTTCTAAAGCAAGGGATGGTAAATACATAAATAATTCACAACACTGACTTACCATTATTATGGTACATAAGACAGAGCTACACAGTATTCCAGTTTAACTGACAGCTACTTAAATAAGATCTAGATATTACATTTGTGTTATGACAGCAGAGCTAGCAAATTACACAATCAATGTGTCTGAATTAATGTGTCAGCATATTCAAACTCTTAATTGATGAAATACAGAAATGTTTATTAGTTACAAAGCAGCTCTCATAAATTCAGAGTGCAGTGTATGATTAACATAGGCTTGTTTCACTTTCATCTGCAGCTACCAACAGATTGGATCCCGAAAGAAGAATAGATTGCAGAGTCTTCCAATGCAGGTAAGGAGACAGTCTTGCCACTTAAAAAAAAAAAGAAGAAGAAGGCTTATTTAAAGGAAGTTATTACTGTTAGTAAGTTAGTCAGGAAAGAGAGGCTCTAGTTGAATACAGTCAAATGTGTGATGATATATTTTGTCTGTTCTCTGTGTAGTGCAGTAGCTGTGGCTGTGATGCTCAGTGTGGTGGGCAGCATCTTTATCTGCACACAGCTGTACCTTCTCTTTACACAGTGAATTCATTCAGCTCCACTATAAATCATCATTCACTAACTGCATTACCTAATGAGCTAGTGCTGCGCTGTTACTGTGGCATGTTAGTAAGAGACGGTATCTAATAGCTGTGCCTAGAATTCCCAGTCATTGTGTTCTCTGGTATGATGCGAACACATTGTGTAAAGATGGATTGCAAAGTCTTGTCAGTTATCTTAGAGACAGTCTTAGTGTGTTGTGCATCATTTTTCTGCCTTTACCAGAGAAGATCCACCTAAGACCACCCAGTATCCTTGCCTGATTTGATGGGAAAGTACCAGTGTGTCAGTCTCTTGATAACACATTAAAAGAGATGTGACTGGACATTTTAGCAGTGAGCTAGCATGTGTGTGACAGAAATTTACAGCAGTCTTTGCCAAACACAAAAACACTGACCACATTGGAATGTACTAGATAGATTATTTTTAATTTTCAGATGTGTAAACTTTGTTAAGGTTTAGTAGCCACGTGAGAATGAAAACATTTATTATTGGCTCATTGTCAACAGCTTTTATGTTGTTGCATTACTTTAGATTTAGTTTTCGAGATTAATGAAACACTTCAGTGACTGTTTTTGAGGCAGGGTTTCATTTACAGTACCTGTACTCGAGCCAACACTTCAACATTTGAAACTGCCTCTAAATGCAAGATACATGAGGATTTGACACTCCTGACCCCATCACAGCATAAAGGTTTTAGAAAAAATAATTTAATCATGTTGTAATGTTTTTCATTCCTCTGTGGTGCTCTGTGTGAAGAATCACTTTGTTGTTGTCTCAGTGGCCATGAATTATTGATTTTATGGATCATAAGCATCCCTCCTTTTAATGCATGTTTAATCACCAGCTACAAAGTCACAGCCAAAACAGGAGCAGCTTAAAGACAAGCTGATCTATTTTGAAAGTCAGCTGCTGATTCTTTTTCCAAAAGTGAATACATTTTCCTTAAATAATAAAATTTCCTCTCGGTAGGGCACATACATTATATGTGTACTACCAACTAATATTCCAGACCTTATTACCATAGACATGATTATGGGGACAGTACGGCAAAAACAAATAGGGGGAAATATTTTGACATGCTACTTTTCATCAGAAACAGTATCTCATGAATTCTTTGTCAGGATGATCTGTACTAAAAGTGTCAATTTTTTCTGTCTTTCACCTTCGTCTCTGGTCTTGTAGCCAGAGCCTCAGGAGCACTACCTCTCTCCACCTAAACATGCTTATCAAAGAAAGGGAATTAGGAACTACTCTCTGTGCTCTTGATTTTGTCTTATCACCCCTTAATAAGAAGCTTTTTCATCACAGATAACCTCAAGGGCCTGTGCTGTGCTGCTATGATTATTTGACAAGCATAAAAAGAGCCAGTTTAGTTAACAAGGACCTTGCATCCCCCTTGTTACTCTACCTACCTTGCATGGTTGTGTCGATTAACAGTGAGAACTCTTAGTTGGCTGCACGGACAGGCCAGGCATAATAGCAAAAGGGGGATAGAGCAATATTTGTGGATGCTCTTACTCACAAGTATGCCTACTGAATCATAAACAAATCAGGACACTAGTTTGGTGTTTAAAATTTTAAGCCCTGTATAATATTATTATAAAATTTCTCATTATGCCTCAGTCTGGACTCAAATCATAGCTGTGTGGTACAGTTTAGTAACTTTGAATGAGCTGAAACTTCAATTCATAAAATACCAATAGCATCAAATTTCTAATATCACCTTAAAATATTCAAACAGTAACTTATTTGAATTTCTGGTTCTGATACATTAAATGAATTTAGTTGTATTGTATTTATACCACATGGTGTACCAGTAGGCTGTAATAATATTAACTTATCATACCATATAATATGTTTTTGCATGAGTTTGTTATTTTCCTCATATGGTGCCACAAATATTTTATATAGTGAACGTGAATTTATGTGTTATGTCTAGAGTTTCTCCCAGTTACAAACCTCCGGATAACCTGATTGCCAGGCATATTCATTAAACATTCGCATCAGGATCACCACACCCAGAGCACCTTTAACTGACCCTTACTACAAGTTTACCATAGAGAAACAAGAAGTCATGTTCCACAACAATCCACACAAGGGGCAGACAGACACAGTTGAAATGCTACAATGCCAGCAGAAGCATAGCCCACTGCATGATATGAAATCAGATTTGTTTTTTCATCTAATTTATGCCTTACAGAATTAACAAATTCTCAAATATATCAAAAAATAAAAATATAAGCATCCCTCCCCTAAGATATATCATCAAGACTATGCCTTTTAATGCACCTCTGTAAAAAGCATATATTGTGAAATGTATAAATAGAATAATATGAATCAGAATCAGAATCATCTATGTTTGAACATACAAAGAATTTGACTCTGGTGCAGAGGCTCTCGGGGTGTTTGTAAGGCACCAGGAAATTAAAAATAAACAGTGCATGCATTCAAATAGGAAATGTGTTATAGTAATAGAACCAACATAGCTCATCCTACAGTACAGTCTACTGCACAAAAATAAAATATGAAAGAATGAATATCCAAACATCTACACAAAACTATCTAAACTACTATATCCTACTGGAAACCACTGAAAAACCATTAGTATAAAAATCAGTTTATAAAATCTGCATACCATCGAAATGACTGCTCAGTTTCCGTATAGGTTATTAAGTTAACAAAAAAGCATTTAAGATCAAATTCAGTGTTGAGTCCATGAGGAGTTTTTAAACAGCAGATCCAATAAGACATGGCTCAGTAACACATTCTCCAAATTGCCACCAGAGAAACCTTTTCAGTACCTATGTAACCTAACAAGAAGATGAGATGATGTTTTTGTACATAGTATATCTTCCATTATTGTTACAGTTCCCTTTCTCCTCAAAAGTCTAAGTCTAAATATGTGCCAGCTTAGCGCTTGTGATGCTAATTTCCAGGAGGACACTAAAATGCATTGATTAGACTTTTTCCCACTGTACAATAAAAAAAATCATGTGCTGATAAAAATCACTGTCAACAGCAAAACAAATCTGGTATTTGTATTAGCTCCACAGTGACTGATCCGTGCCTTGCCCAGCTCGTTTCTGTTTGTTGCTGTTTGTGGACTGGTTACTAGCTACGTGGTTTATACTAGTCTCTGTGGTTTATAGTGCACATAAAGGACTAGTGGTTAAAAAGAAGTGCAGATGCATTTTTGATAAACAGTGTTTTGGGGAATTTGATTATTTCAGCAATTATGTCATTTAAAAAGCATTTTAAAGTTTTATGATCTTTGTACAGTTTGTACAGTTTTAGCCAGATACATGAGGCTGAGACTCAGTAATAAGAACGTCTCTGTATGTCAGTATACAGTGAGTGTCCTGGCCTTTGTGCCTTGTCACTGGTATATGTAGGAATATGTCCAACACCTTTTTTTTTTCTGAAGCACAATTTTGAATTCTGCTTCTCGCCTTCACACCTCTGTTACCAGGTTGCACTCACAAACCCCAGAAGACTTTTAATATAACCAACCTCCTCCCTTATCACTTTCTCTCCTAGGATCCAAATCCCAGTATTATAATCACAGCGGGTACCAGGTGTTATGGGGTAGGACCTGCTGTGCCCAGTCTCTGCAAACTCACAACCTCGAAGGATTACCACGCTCATTCTTTGGTTGTCCCAGCGAAGAGAGAGATTCTTTTAGTGTGTACAATTGCCCTTTGGCTTTGGAGTAAAAGCATGTGATGTTATCTTGTTTTCTTGTATTCTCATAGCAAAAGGAGAAAAAAAAATGACCAAAACAATTTAAAGAGTGGATTCATTATTTAAATCCATATGTGTAAACATATATTTGTCCACAATAAACACATAATGCTACGTATATCAAACTGTTACCACTTTTACTGGCCCTGATTCTTCAAGCAGTTTTGGCTCTAGAAGGTTACAGTATTCGCCCTGTTGACTGGCCTGATGCTATATTTAGTAATTGAAGTCAGCTCATGGGTATATCAAAACCAACTCCAGTTTTAGCATTTGTCCCTGAAGCAAAACTCCCTAACGTTTGCACAGGCCTGTTGTTGTGAGACTTCACCTGCAAAGAGGTGTTCTTAAATCCCAACTGGATCTACACTGGTCTGAAAACAAGCCTTCAAAGCACCCATAGGTTCCCTTTTGCTCAGAACCCTGAAATATATTTACAGTATACAGTATGTTACATAATATCAAGAAGTCTTGCTGGCTTCTCGCCCACATATGCACTGCGCAACCAAGCTCCAGGTTGCACTACCGTGATGAATGTGAACTTTACCACAGTGCAACATACATCCCTGATGTGAATGATTGATTGCATGTTTGATACTCTTTGATATACAAAAATAAGACATTCAACTATTTGTGTTCCCTTTATTTTTTTGAGCAGTATATTTCAGTTGTTTTCAACATTTTTATTTTCAGGCTAGACCACTGCCACAGAATCGACTCACTGTTTCACCACGATTCCTCAAACCGATCAAGGAGCCATGTACAATATTGTAAGTTAAATACACTACAATGCCACAAATGGATTTTTTAAAGATTATTTTCTGAGGTTGTGAAGAGGCAGATGCAACTGTGGACATTGCTCCAGAGTCTAATGAATTTGCCTGCTCAATTTTGTAGCTTAACTTTTACACACTGGATTTTAATGTATCAGTTCATTCATTAATTTACGTTTAACGCCACAGACTATGAATTATAACTCATAGGCACACAACTGAATGAAGAGAGATCCACTTCATCAGTCTGCTGTACATGGATGTTCTTTTTTGTGTTTCCTGAAACTGTATGTATTTTACTTAGTGTGGTAGCAAACGGCGACATCTTGAACCCAGCAATGAGGCTGTTGATCCAGCAACGGATTCTGTGCCAGTTTGACAGAATTCTAGAGATGATCACAGAGAAGATGGGGTTGAGAGTTCTGGGTGGTGTTCGAAGGTAAATCTAGATACTGAACATAGGGACTGTATTTTTCTTAAACCATCCTAGTAGCATTTCTGTCTATACTTATTAAGAAAATTAAACAAGAACAATGCAGTTTGACAGAAGCTTCAGACTTGCATCTTCTTCCATTATAGCAGATGATCTCAGTAGATTCTTTAGCACCTTGTCCCATACATTTGCATATAAATTCAAGAGAAATTTCCTCAAACTGCTTTGATTCAATTATGCTAACACTAACTTTTTTGAATAACTGTGTTGCATGTGATTCACATATATGTGTATTTTGACACAATACTATGATTGTTAGTGAAATGACTAACTTAATAAATGGCTACATGAAGATTGTGGGAGGGAATTATCAACTTAAACGCATCTTCTTTTAACAAACTGGTACAAACACAAAGAGAAACTATGAGGCTTTTTGCTTTGTGTCTTCTTTTTAGTCTTTACACTTATGAAGGCCACCAGGTGACTGATGGGAGTCAGCTGGAGAGCGGTCAGCTTTATGTGGCTGTAGGAAGAGAAAAGTTTAAGAGGCTGGCCTACAGTGACCTACTTTTCACCAAGCCACGAGGCACAAGGAGGGTCAACGGGTATGCGCCACACTTCAGAAAAAATACTACAGTTACGTACATGTTGTCTGAATACTTCATAGTAAATGCTAGTTATTAAAAATTCACAGATCTGCATTATGGCGTTATTTGCCTCACAAAAAATATTAACCTTTCAGTATTTTCAGAACACATTTGAATGTATTTTTATTAAGTTTATTGCCTGTTTTATTTTTTGTCCTTCCCGTATATGACCCCACCAAATGAAAATGATTTCTATATTAGGTTGTGCTTTTGTAGCCTTGGAATTTATTTCTTCCCATATTTGTTTGTACTCATATTTTTCTTACAAAGCAGTATTGTGTTTATTTTCATTTACAGTATACTGACCCAAGTCTATACTGAGTAAGTTTTCTTTAGTTATTCACATAAATAAGATCGACCAATAAGACACATTATTAGGATGCATCAGCATGTACAGCCTTGAGTTGTGGAAATTTAAAAATGGAATACTATGGCTACTAGGGATGGTTCTTGGAGACTATTTTAATATGTACCACTGTGGCAACTAATTACTCCTCCAGGGCTCATATGTTGTTTTTTTTTTTCAAATCTCCTGAAAGTTTCATCCCTGAGCTTCAAGTTATTTTCATGATGAATAATTTGCTGCTTTTGAAAAAAAATGTGGCAATTGTACTTTTATGTTTAGGCGTTTAAGGTCCGTGGAAGTAAAGAAATTCAAAAAGAAATGTAATAATGATTACTATTTTACGTGCGTGCACAAATCTATAAATGTATAAGATTTAAAAATCATAAACATGCACTATTTAACACACATTACACAAGGTATATGAGAGATAAGTTACTGATCAATACAACTACCATTGTTGTATTGTTAGTTGTTCCACTTTTTCATTTTCAAACATTTATCCTATTAAGGTTTATGGAGTTACATGGATAATGTCTGTTGCATATATTCATGAGTCAGGGTTGTAAGGTGTGCACTCTTATGTATTTACGTAATTATTTTCTTTGTTTGTTTTCAGAATGAAAGGTTATTCTCTACCACCCATCTACAGATCCCCCAAGCAAAATGGAAACGTAAGAACTGCATATGCTTTTATTATGTATATAATTTACATTTAAATGTGATTTACAAACCCTAAAATTAGGAATAGGAAATCTAGTATATTCATAACTTAGATACAGTAAATACAGTAGATTTTATAAACCGAGTTGCAGTTAAATAATTTACTTAGCAAATACAAAGTAGTGAGTGGAAGTGTTTGTTTTCTAAATCGTTTTCTTGTTTTAACAAAGTGAAAGGAGAAACAACCAGATCCCTGATCACTCATATTTTTATAATGTATATAACTTTAGTATTAGTCATGGTTAACAGATGTTTCTCATACACTGACTAGACTTGCACTTCCCCCAGAGTAAGTCCACAACTCGGTGCAGTGAGAATGGAGATGGAGACTCCAAGGCCTCTCCCCCAGACCACAATGGCAACAGCAAGGAACACCTAGTCTCACTCGTCAGAGAGATCTCTCAAGCCAGACTTATGTCCCTGAGGAAGATGAGGAGTGGACAAAGCATGACCCTCGATGTGACTGACAATGGAAATGCAGGTGAACATATAATCACATATACATCAGTACATCACCATAGTAAAATTCAAAAGACAGGAAGTGTTCCCCTAAATCTACTTTTGGTTCACTGTATATGAGAGATTAGTTGAAAAATACAGCCAGCTCAAATCACTGTAAAGTCACCACACAAAGTGAAATGATTGTTGTGATTTCACATTTTTAAAAACAATTGTTATCAGGAACATATTCATATTCATAACCATATCACAGGCTATTGCAGATGCCATTTAGTATTCATACTAGCTTGCCCCTGTTTGATTCTAGCAACCATTTACTTTTAATATTTGTCAGTATGCAGTATATCTACTGTATGTCTGCAAGAACGTGTGTGTGTGTGTGTTTATAAACCAATGCTAAAGTGAACTGATGCATGTGCAGTTCAGAATATAGGTATGTGGTTTAAATGATATTCTTTCTCATTCATTTCACATACCAATGCCACAATATCATAACAGTAGTTGCTACCTGACCTTTTAAAGTGTATGTACCGTAACATGCGGTTAGGATTGTAAGATACAAACACTGATGTAATTCATGGGCTTTTAAATCTTATGCAACCTGCTGCATTCTTAAATGCCCACACAGTGGCACTGTTGCTCTGCAAAAAATACAGCAAAAAATATTGAAAGTAGGTCTAGTATGATGACATAAACCACTATTTCAAGAAACACATTACATCATCTTCTGGGCTTATGATTAGTCTGTTACAATATCATAGAGGAAGTCTGTATCTCTACATTACTTCTGTGCTCACTGGCAGCTGGCACTCATCTGAATATTAAGATGGTCGTGGTTTTGGGACCCTAACAGATGTTTGCCATGAATAGTACATCCATTACATATAATGAGTGAGTGAGAATTGAAAACATTTTCTCTCTCTCTCTTTTAAATTCTACAGTAAATGGGACTTAGATTTTCAGCAGACTGCTGCTGACCTTATTGCAGTATGAACCACATTACGTCATCTTATGGCTCTTGCTTGTTGTTGCCCCCATCTGGCAAGAGAGTTGACAGCAGAAGACCAAAGGAGCATGGAGAATTGTGTCTGTGGTTCAGGGGGACTGGCATTTTGCTACAAAAGAAAGGAATGAGGAATGTGTGTGTGTGTTGGGTGTGGGGTATTTGTCTTTTGTATGCATTTGACATTTATAATGTCACCTTCAAAATCATGAGATTGTTTAGCATGTTGTGGATTACCTTGGGTAACAATGACCAAATATTAAATTAACAGACAGAGGGTTTGGAAAACAAGATCAGACGTTAGAGAATGTTGTTTGAATGTGTCTTAAAGAATATAGCATGTTCTTATGCACCCATCAGTGGTTGACCTAGAAAGTCTTTTGCTAAATGCTGCCATTTAACTACAGTCAGATCAGTGTAAGCGATGAAGACGACTCCATGTATAGCGGTGAGAGCCTGCCTCTGTCCATTGTGCCAAACAGACTTTATGTAAGATACAGAGGGTTTCCCAAAGGCATCTTTACTTTTTTTGTTCTTTGCCTCTCTCAAAGCAAATCTGTGCTAAATCTGGCTTCCCAAAAGCAAACATAAGCTCAAATCATCGATCCATACTGGCTAGACAAATATATATATATATATGTTCTGTACACATTAGAATTCCCAGAGCAAGTAAGTGTAGGGTTGTGGTCATGTTTGTCCAGTTTAACAGTGGGAACATGGTGTTCATATCACCTGTGTTTAGCGATTCACAACCACCAAGGTGGTTTTGGTGTTCTTTTGCCCTTGGGGAAATCATGATTGGGTAAGAGGTAAACGCATCTTGTGCTTGTGCCAAAAGGAACACAGTCAAAAAGTTGGCTGACTGGCAGAGGCTGTGGAGAGGACACAGCATGAAACCCATACTTCAGATCTCTGGTGTGTTAGAGGTCTGGAACAAAAACAAAACATTATTATAAAGGTGTCATGTCATTTTAAATGTATTTCTGAGAGAGGGAGGGAGGAGACGGAGATAGAGGGGAATAACATTAAAGATGCTGAGACAAACCAGCTATTGAGAGAGAAACAAAAACGACAAATGAGACAGTGTGACCGCGTAACTTGAGAAAGTCCCTCTGTTCTGTGCTAGCTCTGTTGTGACTGGGAGGTTTGTGTATGGTCTGTGTGTGTGTGTGTGTGTGTGTGTGTGTGTGTGCGCGCACACACACCAGAGTTCCCATTATTCACTGTCTATCAGCTGCTGGGAGCCAGACTGAGTATAACTCTGGTGTGTTGTAAAGCCTCTGACTTTTCTGCTTCATTAGAATGAACACACTTGTGAGTGACAGCAAAGACAACAGGGAGACGTGTGACCAGTCATGCAGAAAAGGTCATGAAATTAGTTTGTACTTACTGTAACAAAGACATTTGGCTTAAAAGGCCTAACCAAGAAGATATGTTGTCTGTCGTACAGTTCATCCAGCAAATATACACTTTATGGTAGCTCTTTTAAATTGTGTAAATGTTTGGTCCAGTCAGCATTTTCTACAAAAAACACTTTCCTGTTCAGTTGTAACCAATTAGCAGCTGCTGCTATGCTCAAAATAAAAGATATTAGTGTCTTTCTCCACATCTTCTATTATTCCTGCTCTATCTCCCCTCACATGTCAAACATGTCCTTTCCTCCTCCTTGCTGTCTTTTATCCTTCTGCCTTTTCTCATTTTTTTCTCCCATTTTACATCTTCTCTCCTCTCTTCTCAAGGGAGCCATTAACTGAACTGGTCACAAAGGCCCTTTAAAGAAGAGGGAATAAAAGGTTTAGATGATGAAGGGAGAACAGATTGTTGTGAGGAAAAGAAGGAGAAAAAAAGAGCACAGGTGGAATCAAAGTGTGAATATGATCACCCTCTGTCTGAGATGGTGAAGCATGAGCATTGGGTGGGGGTAAAAGGTACAGAGAGATACTGAAGGGTAGAGGGATGGGTGGGGTTTGGATAATTGCCTTTCATTTGGATAATCTCTCCATTTAGAGTCATCAAAGCAGAATTTTACTTGCCCTTGCCCCTTACTGAGGCCAAATTGCACCTCCAAAAAACAACAAACGGGGCCTTGTACTTCAAGAGGGAAGGGTGGACAGACAGAAAGGTATGGACAAGAGCAAAGAGAGAGAAGCCCATAATAGAGGGAGAGATGTGGGTCTGCTGACAGAGAGGGAAGTGTGTCAGCTTATTATCTGGACTTATATATGCCCGGCACAGTACATGCCTCTGTGCATGTATTACAGTCACGAGGGGACATGTTAGTGTCAGGTCTATTCTGAGCATGATTAGCATCCATCAAAACAAGCAAATGTTCCCCCTTTAGATAATGGTGAGCATTCAACAAAGAAAAACAGTACTGATATATGATATACAAGTTCTGCATTAAAACACATAGCAGTGCAGTGTGAGCCTGGCACCGATGAACCGATGAACAGGAATTATTTAGTATAGGTATCGTTTGAGTACATTTACCAAGGCTCTTGAGACAGAATGCAGTCAATATATGCAGCAGCAGCACGATGTAGTATCTATAGGCGTATTCTTTTTAGTAATGTACTAAATACTCAACTCTGACCTCAAAGGGTTGAAATAGTAATGTCACAGTAGCTGATGACACTGTGAGTATTTTGAATGACTTGTCTGAGGTTTCCCTGTGGAAACACACTGTCTGGCCATTTTTATGGTGTATGAGTTGTCTTTTAAAAATTATGGGGGAAAACCTTCTTTTTTCAAAGATGGAAATGAAATAGAAGTTTGTCCAGTGAAATGTGGCGCACACACCCGACGGTCTTCCTTCAATTCAATTCAGTTTATTACTTTACAAAGTAAGGTCTAGACCCTACTATCATTATTATTATAGAGGAAAGCCCAACAAATCCCCCCTGGGCAAGCACTTGGCGACAGCGGGGAGGAACAACTCACTTTAAACTCCCTTCCTGCAGTTTAGTTCAGTTTAACATCTCTAAGTCTAGAGATGGTGAGTTGCAAAACAACCCAGGTAACTCTGCCAGTGCTAGCACTGAAACATCGAGGGCATCCTCTTTCACACAAATCAAGTCCTGACTACACTGCTGCCTCTGTCATGCACTAGGCCTCATCTTTAAATATGTAATATAGCAGAAAGATGATTCCTGTTGTTTTTCTTGATGGGCCTTTGCTTTGGTTTCAGGTTCAGGTATTTTTCAGAAAATCATTAATTAATTAATAGGAAATATTCTTAATATATGTGAGCTGAATATGAAAGACATGCAGACTGCTGCATATTTGAGAGCGTCAGTGTGTGTTTGTGTGTGCATTTGTACAGGCACAAGCCACCCAGGCTGATCAACCTTCTGGTGTCATGAAATGTGATACTGCCTTGGGGAATTAGCCCCGTTAGCATATGCACTGTATCTATAATCAGAGTGAAATCGGGTTCAAAACAGGCTTGGGAGGCAGGAGACGTGTTTACAAGGAGGCTGTATGTGTTAAATCATGTGCCTCTGTCAAAAAAGAGGTTAAGCAGTGAAGGGTGACAGATGGCAACATTTAAAGGAATGCTTTTTGTTTGTTTGCTAAGTTCTTAGAAAGTGTGGTTTGTGAACACCGTTGAAAGGATTAACGTGTGTGCCAGCTGTTATGTGCACACTCAGGCAACATGGCCACTGGAGCAGAAAAAATTCTTTATAACCCTTTGATGCAGAATTACTGTATTAAAGACCAGGGTGGCTGTACTAATCTGTCACATTAATCTGTTAACAAGTGCTTCAGCTGTGACACACTGTCGCAGTGTGACAGTGTGATAGTTGGGGTACAGTGTGACACTTTCAATGACACACATTTTCTCAGTGTCTGTCACTTCTAATCTAGGATGCTTTTCTGGGGCTGAGCTGGTGGAACAATATTCGGGGTACTGTAGTTGTGATGCGAGCATCAGAATAAGGGTTTGTAATCAGCCTAAGACACTGAAACAGTTTTGACATACATTACCACCTTGATGCTCTGAAGCCACATATACATTA